TAACCATAAATGATGTTATTATCATTATTAGATTTCCCTACCCTTTATAAATTAAGATACTTATTTACTTTAGATAAGTATAAAATTTGTAGTTCGACTGGACGTCCAATTAGGAATTTTTAGATAGGATTTGATTGCTGACTATACCGAATTACTTTCATTTATTAATTAAATTGATAATTATTCTATTCCAGCGTTTTATTTGTATAAATGAGAATCAAGGCAACCCCTAACCCAATACAAGGCTTAAATGATCCAACACCTAATGGTTAATTTTTACAGTCAGTCAAAGTAAAAACTTTTGGCATCCCTAGTGCGGTTTGACTAAAGCCTAAAAAGCGGCAATAGCTAGTTCCGTCACAATGCTAATACCTGAAATAATTGGAGACTAAATTTCAAATTGCAGACATTATTCAAATGAATGTTTACTGGTTTTTTGACTTTTTTTTCGCATCATTCAAATTTGCAATTAAATACGTCAATTTCATATGTAAATTGGAAGGGATTCTCACAGAAAAAAGTTTCAAAAATCCCTTAATTGTTTGGCTCAGCTGCCTAACTCCACCATTATCAAGATTATTAGATTATTTTAAAACATTCACCTGTGAAACTTTTTTAATAAACACTCGTGTAATTTGCAATCTTCCAGGTGTAATATTAACTTAAGTAAAAGGCCATTTTTGCTTGTGATTTTTATTATTAGACAAACACTTAAATACTACATAGAGATCAATTATTTATACATTTGAATATTACAAGATAATTAAGAAGTGACATCTGGGAAAAAAACATCTATTTATGTTACGAGTATCATCAAACTTTATTAGACAAATGTGTTACGCGAACTTCCTTGTGATGCCTATTGAGACAAATGTCCAGTAAAGCCGATTCAGGTAGATTTTAAGCACGTTATTTTGTTTCTTCGTTATTATTATTTAGGTATCGTTCTTTGGTTTTAGTGAATGAGTACTTTGGACCTTGATACATTCCTTTGGAGATGTGATAGGGGTTGAGGTGAGGAGTAAATTTAACCGTAACATGCTTTATGCAAAACTCAATAGTTTTTACGATATTTCAATGTTTCTGTTTTTCTTAAAATATAGACCTAGTTGCGTTAGAAATTAATTAGCAAAAAATATAGCGTATATTTCTCTAACTTTTTTACTGGATTACTGGCCTAACACTATGGTCCGAAGACATTTCTGTCATGGCAAAATTTTAAATAAAATATCTGCAACCATAAGGAAATTATATCATATACAACTAGGGCGACGATATTTGAAAATTATTTTTTAAGATATTTTATTCGCAATTTTCCTATGACGGAAATGTTTTCGGATATTTTTTATCACAAAAATAAGACCATAGTGTTGGGCTAGTAATCCAGTTGGAAAGATTTTTTGCTAAATAATTTGTAAGGCACTTGGTAACGTTTTCAAGAAAAACAGAAACATTGAAATATCTAAAAAACCATTGAGTTTTGCATAAAGCCTGTTACGGTAAAATTTACTCCTTTTTTCATCCCCTATCACATCTCCAAAGGAATGTATCGAATTACCAATAACCCTATATAGAACAGCTCACCTCTCAATAGAAAATTTTCTAACCCTCAAGCGGTTCAAGTTTTGTATCGAGAGTTTTACATCGATTACTCTCTCGTCCATGGTAAAATTAGCGGGCTTCCAACTACGAAAATGAAAACCCTATTCCCAAGAAATTATTAACAATACTAAATCAAACATTTCCTCATTGGACACTTCTCATATTGGTTGATCACAAGTTAACCAAATTATTAACTTCTTATATTTCGTTGTCAGAAAATTGAAAAACTCGCAGTTTACTTTTGGTAATTTAAGTAGCAAAAAATCAAACTACAATCATTTTGGCTGTGGAAGTTATCATAATGCCAGTACTTGACGATCTTCCTCAGAAATGACTGTTCGAGTTCAGAGCTTTAGGAACTTACTATGAAAATTCCTCGTTTTGAATTATTTTGGTGTCTCAGACGTCTCATCGAATTGGTATCTAAGTTAAAGTAATCGACGCTAATAAGAATAATCCTGTCATCTACCGAGTTCCATAGAAGTCAAGTGGCGCCATTTAAGTCCCTTACAATACCCAGATTAAAGCTTTGTGGCTTCGACAAAAACTCTTTTATAGCTCTCAAATTCCAATGCATGAAAATTAAAATGTTGACTGCTGGAAAACATTTTTCAAATTCAGTAAGTCCTAAATTAGGCAGCCCCACCTATTATATCACAGAAAAGTTGTTGGAAATGGGCATAAGCCTCCACATCAGTGCAATGCATCGCAGGAAAGATTCTAAGCAATTTTATTTATAATGATAGCTGAACATCCAGATCAACAATAATTCAATGTTCATCTATATAATATACATTGCAAATACCACCGTTAAATCGGGCATTCCCAAAAACCTCCAGGTAGAAAATATTGTACATTTTTCTTAAGTGCGTTCTGAAATATTAGGACGTTTCCATACATAACGACAACCCTGTATGTTCTAATAACACGAAAAAAAAAACATGTATTTAACTCTTATGAATTATTGATCTTCGGCCATACGTAAAATAGGTCACTTTAGACTCTTCACAATCGAAAACAGCTCTTTTCCAAATATAAACGAGACGTCAATAATAGAATGAAATATTTTTATAAAATTTCCCGATCCAATAAGAAAAATCCAAAGTGGATCGACAATACTACCTCACAAAATATTCCAGAGTAAATAGAAGACAAAGTGTACGTTAAGAAAACTAAAATAATAGTATATTACAATCCGAGACAGGAAATTAGCTATTACTGTCGAGAGATTTTATAGTTCATCGAGACGCTATGCTACAAATTTTTAAAAAGTCTGTGATGTCATCAACATTACATATATGGTTAAAAATAAAATACAAAACCCAAAAGCCTTCTGTCAGCTAGGGTTGCAAGCTTTGACGCAAATCAATTTTCTTAATTTTTGGCTGATGATAGTCATCAACCCAAAACTTGTTCTGACAATAATTGAGAACACAGTTGGAATATTTAACCACGGAGGACGTGATCTTGGAATATAAAAAAAATGGAAACTCTTGGTTTATAAAGAAATAGAAACTTTTAGAGAAACTATTCAAAACAATAAAAAGATTCTCTCCACCGTTCTCAGAATATCCAATTACCCATCACCTCGAATCACAACTTTCAAAGTTGAAGTTCGAACCCGTTTTACCAATTTAATCCAAATTGCCGATTCAGCCGACCAAAAACCCTATGAAATCATCGTTGACACAAAATACTTTAGATTTGGAGCTTAGCGCGGAATAATTAATGTAATAGAAAGTAGGTATACCACCCTGTTTCCTTTTGGTTGAGAGTACAGAACCTCATTATGAATTCCCATGAACACACAAAAAAAGGTTCACATACAGGAAGAGCATTGTAGGTATAATACGTAAATGTAACAGAAGCATGAGCTTGGGAGGTGGTGTTATTTCTTGATATAAATTCCTTCACTTGAGCCCATATTAGATTAATCCTATTCAATTCGCAATGGCCAAGCGACGTATATTCCGTTCCCGAGCCATTTCATCAACAACATGTCGTTTTAACTGTGATTTGTGTTTCAGAGCTTATTTTTTTTTCAAATATAATTTTCAATTTAGAATGTCATCCTTCCGCCAGGAACATGAGGGTAATTTTTCTGCTAAACTGGAATGATAGCTGATGTTATCCATGATTGACTTCAAGAATTGAGGTTATCATTTCAGAAAAGTAGTCTTCAAAAACATTATTACCGTCATTTCGTCATGGTAATCGTTGGTTGATTCTGATTGGAATTCAAGCAAAGCTCCATTTAGAAAGCCTCTATCACTACCAATGTGAGTTCTTATTAACCTGCGGCCCTTATCGGAAGCCATTTTTAAGCAAATCGAAAGGCCATTCACGAAAGCCTGGCGAGAATTGTGGACATTTTTACCTTGCTAGAATTTATTTAATGTGTGTCCTTTGTTGTTCAACATTTTTTCCATGTAATACCTGAATGTTTCTTTGTACTCTTCTGTACTTTCTAATACCTATCTCTAATATTTTTCCACTATTTTTTTTTGTCCAATTTCTGGTATATTCTCGTACGCTCCAACTACTGCTTTTTAAAACAATGAGATCAGCCAGTAACTTGTGCTAAACATGGACACATTTATGAAATACAAAAATACAAATTATCAAAGTAAAAATTAATTTTCTCGTGTTGCTTACACGTGTTTGCACCGTATGGACTTTGATGGAGTTTAATCTCGCTTAGTTTGAAAATTTGTATATTATAAAAAAAAAAAACATCCTAATCTGGTTTAAGCAACTAATCTGGATTAAGTCCTTACGGTGCATCTGGGCGTTATACCATCGATTTCACTCATTATTAAATAGACCAACCAGACAACGTAAATTATTCAAATAAGTGATTATTTCACATGAGCCTGTTTATTCGCGATTAAATTTTTGTTCACCATTTTTGACAGAACTTTGATGGAAATATTCTGACATTCCATAATAACTAGAACTCTTTATTGTTGGCTTTAATCCTAATTATTCAGGAAATAATCGAGCCGTATACCACTCGACCTATAAATTTAAATGGAATAAACTATCCAAATATTTCTTGCATGATTTTGCTTTTTGGCAAATAGTTTCATGCATAAGAACTTTCAAATTTTTAAAAGTTATTGTGCATTCAACTATTTTCCAAGCAAAATTATGCTCAAAATATGTTGGATAGTTTAATCGAATAAATTTAAAGTTATTGTGATATAATATATGATAATTCAACAGACAACAACTGTCAGGTGTCAAATATTAGGGATGGTGCACAAAACCGAAAACGATATTCAGGCAAGGTTGCAAACATCAGCATACAAATTCACACATTAAAGCTAAACAACCAATATCGACTTCATATTCATCAAGATATGTAGGTGGTTGCCTATTTATTCTTGGTCTGTCACTTATTTCCTCTTCATCTTCTCAATCTGTTCTTCCATTTCTCGCTTTGCTTTATCTTCTTCATTATTTTTAACCTGCTGGTGAACCTCAAAATCATTTTTATCATCTTCAATTTCATCATCAGCTACACTAAGCGTCTTAAAAGCTCTCCTCATCAAATACATTTCTACTATGTATAATTCTATTTTCTTCGCTGTTCCACAACCTGTAACCATCTAATTCCTTCCTCATTCAGTTCAGTACGTAATGAATCAGGCACTTTCGCATAACATACACACCCAAACACAGGCATATTACACTTACAGACATTCGGCTTACGACCCAACCATACCTCAAAAGGAGTTTTATCCTTGACTCGACATGACTGTGTCCTATTGGTGATATATGCTGCAGTTAAAACTGCTTCCTCCCAAAATTCTTTTGATAAACCTGATTCTGCTATCATTGCCCTATAGCTTTATTCATTAAAATTTGGTTCATCCGTTCAGCGACATCGTTCATCTGGAGGGTGTAGGGAGGAACATACAAAATTTGAATGCCTTTTCCCTCACAGTACTCCTAAACAACTTCGAGGTATACTCACCACCGTTATCACACCTTATTTTTGCAATTTTTATCTTTCTATCACAATGCAAAGATGCTACGTACCTTCGCCTCATAATTTTTGAAACAGTTGAATACGTATTACATAGACCATTACAGAACGAGAGTTCACAAAATAACGCTTGTCGTTATGCGAAGCAGGTGTAAGAGGGTCACAAATATCTGTTTGCACTAATTCGAGAACTCGATTTGAGTGTAACTTTTTCTTGACCACTTTTTCTAAACTCAAATCATCTTCTGATATTGTTCTAATCGCTGTAACTATATTTTCATATTCTTTGGGTATAGACAACAATAAAAAGCATGCCAAAATGCAATTGAAAATCATCATTTAATAATATTCCGAACTTACTAATTCTTTTAGAAAATAGAACTTTGAGCATACACAGATTCCAATTTGTCTATGATATCTTTATTTTGCAATAAATGGTAATATCCTTTATATACTCTAAATGGGTGTCTGCCCCACATTGTACAAGAATATTTCTTACTTTATTGTCCTTTTTGATCCATTACTCATTTACAGTTGCCACAAAGCGCATAATACCTGTAACTTTTGATTACCTCGTATACGAAAAAGTGACCTTTATAAAAGTTGCTCAGTGAATTGGACGAATTGTTTCTGTCACTTCTGGTTTGTTTGCTATCCAGACCAACTTTATTTTTTCAAATAAAACACCCTGTATGGGATTGCATATTTGGATTCTACGTAATCTTCTGAGCAGGTATCATGTGACACACCCTATACCAAAGTTCGCCCTCGGCTTGGGAGATTCAGGGGGAGCGTCGGCAGGTGGCGGATTGCCGAACGGCCTATGTTTTTGAGCTGCAAGCTATTGCTATTGCTGAAAGCTGCTGCTAACCTCCATCGCTATCAAAACAGACTGCAATTTGAATACGAATGTTCACAAAATAAAAAAATCCCGTTTAACAATCATCGAAGCATCGTTTCATAAGTAAATCTGCGAAATTTGTCGAAAATCAGAAAATTCTTTCTATGAGAAAAACAGAGACGAAATATTAATAATCGTTTAAATGCACGAAACGCTCTCTGACGTCACAATGCGTAACGAGTTAGCGCGAGCAAAGTACAGTGACGCTACTTTCTACTTGGATCAGCCTTTTGTGACGCTGCTTTTGCTATTTTTGTTGGCAATAAAGATTATTAATATTATTATTACTGTTATTATTATTATGGTTAACTTTAATTTAACGAGAGTGTCTGTTCAACCTTTAACAAGTATTTTAATAGTGCTGCTATCTCCTTTGTGTAGATCTCTGTGTTAGGGTTTATCGAAATTAAGGTAGAGAAGGTACAACGGCTAAAATGGAAGAATGTTTTCAAAAGGCCGATTCACATAATTTGCCAACTGTGGACGTTAGTATGGCATCAGAATTTTTGGTCAAGTGTCGACTTGAATTGAATCTGCCCCAGTCCAGTGGTGTAAGAGTAAAACAGACGTATAAGACGCAGGTATAGTTGAATTTGAAAAGTGATATATAGTTATTTACCTATAACAAGTGCGGAAAGTTATACTTTTCTGCACGCAACGGCATTTGCACGAACGACGCGCCAGCAGAATTCGTGCAAGCCGCAAGTGCGGAAAACATACTTTACGCTCGTGTTAGGCATATTTTTTCTACGAGCGTGTGGAAAAACGGCCTTCACGCACCGATTTGCGTGTGGAAAGTACCACATTTCTGCACCTCGTAGGAATACACGCACGTAAATACCACTTTTTTTGGCTCGGTTTAACTTTGTTTGAGTCTCCCGTTATTACACAAACAAGGATAATTAGAGTGAATGAAGTTTCCTGGGATAAAGCAACAGTCAGCAACACAATAAATTCAATGTAAACTTGTAAACAAATCTCGCCAACGCGCCAGCTGATTATTCGTTCCGCACAGTGACATCACAAGCGCTATTCTCGCCGCAGGGGGTCGTTTTGCTAGCCTCGCTAATTTTGTTTTTTTTTTTGTTTTCGATTTATCAGAAAAAATGAAGGGTTTCTAGATGTTTTAACGCTCAATACGTTTTTTGTGGACCTAGAACCACCACTTTTTATTACAATTGAAAAATAGTGAACATCCCTATTGCCAGTTGTTGAAGTTGCTTCCTTTGAAAGGAACGATTCTATATTTGTTTTCGTAGGATCGGACTCATGCTTATTCATTTTGACTGAATCAAAAGCAGAACTTTTACAACCGATCTGTCGGTACTACAGCCTTCGAGCCTATACAACCACACGTTTATACTTTCTTTTCACTAACCTCACTTTTTTATTTTTCTCGAATTTTCTTATAACTGCGCTGCATCTGAGCCCATAACGAATGTTAGAATAATCAGATCAGCCAGTAACTTTTGTCAAACATTTATTCACAATAAATGGACAGATTTATCAAATACAAGAATACAAATAATTGAAGTGAAAATTAATTTTTAACTTGTGTACTCGTGTTGCTTATAGTCTAGGAGGTAGTGAAATTTTTTAGCACTTATTCTCCTAGTTGGTGTATATTAAATAAATAGTTTGTTCTCTTGGTGATACAAAACAAAGAATTTTTGAGTCTGGCTAAAATCTTCGGATGGGTTCACAAGATCAATCAAAAATACAAGTACACTTATTCTCCCAGTCACAAATATTTCACATTTACTGCAATAGAGCATAAACTATATGAAAATAGCAATTTGGAAAGTGAGTCTGGCTGAAAATTTTCGGATCTGCAATTTTTCACTTACCAGAGGTATTATCCATACTCACAGATTATCCGGAATATTTTTTTAAATTTTGAACCGTATATGTAATATTATAGGTCTGTTTCTGCAGGAATCACAAACCAGTCAGAGTGAATTTCATTGGTTGAAACTAGTTTGCTGACTGTTTATGATTGTTTTCAACCAATGAAATTCGCTCTGCCTGGTTTTTGATTTCTGCAGAAACAGACCTATTGACATCACAGACTTTTTTAAATCTTGAGAGTGTCACACACGGCAATGCATATAATGCATATTCGTTTCCGTCCCAATTTCCGTGCTCGTTTTTTTATTTGATATTGGCATTGACAAAGAAAAAGTGGAAGCTGATTTTTTCTAAGGCCAATCTCACACTATCAAAAGATATGAAGTGTTTCGTACAATAAAATCTTTTACACAGAAACTAAGAGTTGAAAATAAAATTGTATACAAACTTCGACGGAAAACTTCATTGCAATCTCGCATAGCGTCGAGATAAACTATATTACCTCTTGACCAGCAATGAAGCATTTTCTGTTTCGAATTGTAATATACCTACTATTACGTAACTTTAGTATACTTCTCATAAGTAGAGCTATTTTTATCATATACCTATAATACCACAAGAGAAAAAATTTTGTTGGCAAAATTTTCGACTGGTATGAAAGTTTGTTGCTTGGCAATTTCGCAAATTTTTGATAAAACCACTCGCCTAACGGCTCGTGGTTTTGTCAAAAATGTCATGAGATCGGGTTCTATGTAGATCGGGTTCTAGTTTTGAGACGTTTGTCATTGTGAAAATTTTGAAAGTCTACAAAATATTCAAAATCCTATTGAAAAAATCTGAATAAAAGTTTATTTGCAGATTTTCAGTTTTTTTTTTATAAATATTGTGACAAAATTATAGAAGAAATATCTGACGTAGTTTAAAAGTGCATGTCTCCCCTAAAAATCGAATGCACCTCTGACTGAGTAGATATGAAAGATAAAATCCCATTACATTATTTTAGTTATTTCCAGTTAATATTGGTATAGGTTAGGAAAGTAAACACCGAGACGTTGAAGGTTCTTGCTGCGTAATAACGATTTTCATTTCCACTTTCATGGAAACAAAATGTTCAATAATATCTAGACTAGCTTTGAAAAAATATATGAAAAAAAATTAAATTAAATATTTTATGTTTTGCTGTTGTTTTGCCACTGACAGCGGCTTCTACGGAAAAATGTTTCTCCGTGCTCAAAAGGATAAAAAATCGTATTAGAAATATGTAAAAAAAAATTACCCCTCTCCAAATCTTCAAAACAAAAATATCAAATTAGACTCTAAATATCATTTGAAACAATATTTTCTTATAAAATTTTTTCATATTTCTTATAAAAATGCCACTTTTCCTTGTTTGAAATTTTCAAATGGCATTTGACAGGTGTGAAACAAGTCTCGAGTCAAAAATTTTAGGTGTTTTTTTGGTTTTCAGTCATGCAGAACCTAATGCCAAAAACCGATTTGAAGTAAGGATGAGCATAAAAAAAAATTCTCATATGGTGCAGACTTTTCCGCGGACACTGAACAACCTGTATTTCGAAAACAAAGCGTCTGCGGACTCATGTTTCCATTAACTTTTTTTTGTTTTAATGAGTTCTATTCATCCTAAAAGTTTGTTTTCAATACTCGGAAACACCCTGTATACGGGCGAATACTTTAAAGAGTGTATAGGTATTGACAAAATCAACAGAGATGAACTAGATTGGGAGGGCGTAACAGGTTTTACCTACTGATTTTATTCCGCATGCCTTTTTAATGGTTGATAATTAACCCAGAAACAGTAAGAAAAAATGTGATTTTCACCGCCGCTCGAAGCCGCTATATAGGGAAAGTCG